TTGATAACAGAATTAATAATTTATTGTAAATAAGATTTATTTTCTCCGAATCATGCACTACAGTATAGTTTGTGGGAGGCGAAGGGCAGTTAAAAATTTACAGTTGGGGTACTATCTACTACGAAAAATTCCTTGACAAGCAAAAAAAGGTCATCAAACGTTTTTTTTGATGGGGCACAGGCATAAATTAGTTTTCTATTGTATTCTACACATCGTGAAAATTATTGGGGAGGGGCCCGACCAACCTCTCCCCGGTTCTTACGTCTATGATTTTGAAGGAATTTTGAACTCCTTTTTTATTGAATGGTTCTATTGCTTAATTGAATTATTTAAATATTCCCAGAGGCATGCATGGCCAGGACCCGTAATTATAGGTGGACATTTACTCATGAATGCGTTGATGGCCTAACGGTTAATCATTTAACACTGTCCATTCAAAAATATGAAGTTTAAACCTATAGTTAGAAGAGTAGAACCACGTAACAAATAAAGATTATTTGTAGTTTTATAAACAGTAAATATTTGAATAAGATACCAAACGAACATTTATATTCAAAACAAAAATATAAAATACTGGTTTCAACGTGGAACAACAAGGGAGTCAAGATGCCCATGTATTTTGACTACGAGTAGTTTCAACGCATCCTCACAATATCCGAGCATGAAAAATATACAAAATATAGAATTCAAGTAAACTGACTGAAAACAAGGCATACAGATAGTGGATGTCAATACCGAATTACTTCTTTGGCTAAATAAAGAATTGTTTTGGTAGACTGCATATATATACTTTTGCGTGAAGTTATCGCCCTTGTAATATTAATTGACATCATTTTTTGGCATAAATAGTCAATATTGATAAATTTACTTAAATTAATCAGATCAATAATACACATTTTATAAATTTCTTTTAAGATAACGATAACAATGTTATCTTTATTACGGAAGAGAATTATTTCCATTATTTTTAATTGTAAATAATTATGAAACATCGATGCATAATACATATGAGTAGTTTATTTCTCTGTAGGAAGAAGTAACTGAGTCAAACACACAAAACCAAAAAAAAAAAAAAAAGAAAGAGAGTGTGAGATTGTGGGGAGATAGAGAGAAAGACAAAATGGGAGGGCAGGAGGAGTGAGAGGGAGAGAGAAGAGGGTGAGAGTGGGGGATTACCATCTCCCGTTCTGTCAACACCTTCAATTATCTCTCTGAATTCTCTCTCCTTATCACAATTAGCCTCCTCCTAGCTCTCCCACTATCTTAGAGTGAGAGTGGGGAGAGGGAGATGATGGGAGTGGAGAGAGAGATGATGGGAGTGGAGAGAGAGATGATGGGAGTGGGGAGGGAGTGAGGGTGAGAGAGAGTGTGGGGAGAGAGAGTGAGAGAGAGTGGGTGAGAGAGAGTGAGGAGAGAGAGGCTGTGAGTGGGGAGGGGGGTAGAGGATGAGGGTAGAGAGATAGGGGAGAGAGGGCAGGGTGAGAATGGACAGAGTGAGGGAGAGAGAGAGTGTATGAGGGGGAGAGAGTGGGTGAGAGAGAGTGAGGAGAGAATGGGTGGGAGAGGGGGTGAGAGAGAGAGATGGGAGAGAATGGGTGGGAGAGGGTGGGATAGAGTTGGAGAGAGAGGGTGAGTAGGGGAAGAGTGAGAATGAGGGGGGAGGGAGAGTGAGTGGAGAGAGAGAGGGTTAGTGAGGAGAGATATAGTCCTGCTGGAATTTATTACAAATGACGTAAATATAGTTGATAAGGACCTTAAATCACACTTATTTTAAAAGGTTCTAAATATAGGGAACCCCGATCCTTGAACTGGCGTCGGAATTTCATAAATATTATGGATTCTGTTGAAAATTACGCCAGACGATGGACCAGATATGAAAAAGAAGACGTTGACATCTTGTCAGAATGGAATAAATGTATCAAATCCATGTTTAAGTCGCGTATTAAAAGATTGAGGGGCTATAAGAAAATCATCTATCCTTCTGTGTTCAGTAATCCAGAAGTAAAAAAGAAATCAGATAGATCACATGATCAGTACGTACTGGTCCCTGCCGACAAAGCAGGTAACAACATTGTCTTCGTTTGTAAGGCTCATTATGTAAATTGTGTTTTAGACAAACTTGGATTTAATTCTACATATGGTAATCCTACTTATACTCATACTTCCCTTTCCAAGGAAGAAATTCTTCAAAATCATGTGTCAGTTTTAAATATTTTTAATATTCCACAGAGGCAAAATGAATTTGAACTACCCTATATATATATATATATATATATATATATATATATATATATATTATATATATATATATATACCAAGCCTCTATATATCACTAAGATATTGACAGTAGTGAAGGAAAAACTTCGAGTACTGTGCAACAATATATTCAAGAAGTAGTGTGAATCAGATGTGGATACCCAAAAATTCCAAAGAACTTTTGGAAAATTTGAAATCACAAGATTTTACCAAAATCAAAAGCTTAAAAACTTACGACTTTTCAACTTTATACACAACCATTCCCCACGATAAATTAAAGTCCAGGCTTTTTTTATATCATTGACAGCTGCTTTTTCAATGAAAATGGAACTCGTTAATTTACTTACCTGGTCATTGATCATTTGCAAAAGTATTTTGTTAAAACACATTATGATTGCACACACAAATACTCTGAAGTTGACATAAAAATTATGCTTGAGTTTCTGATTGACAATATCTATTTAATTTTAAAAGACAGGTATTCCAACAGTCTATTGAATTCCCATGGATACCAATTGCGCTCCGTTATTAGCAGACCTGTTTTTATATATTCATATAAAGTAGAATTTGTGCAAAATCTTATGTGTGAAAAGAAAACACTTCCTGTGGCCTCCAACTCGACATTTAGATATATCGACGATGTATTGTCAATTAACAATGGTGATCTCCATTCCTTCGTCGATACGATATATCCTGGTAAGCTTGAGATAAAAGATACCACAGAGTCTAACACATCTGTTTCATACTTGGATATTTTACTTGAAAAAGACGTTAATGGTAATCTAACAACCAAGCTATATGATAAACGCAATGACTTTATAACTTTTTAATTGTCAACTTCCCTTACTTATGCAGCAATATACCTTCATCACCTGCATACGGAGTGTATGTATCTCAGTTGATTCGATACGCAAGAGCATGCTCTACGTATGAACAATTTCTAAAACGAGGTATTGTACCAGTGTGTTTTTAATTGTATATATATAATATACCACACAATAATGAATAAATACGAGTATTATTGATATAAATGAAATTGAGTTTAATATAAAACCTAGATCCACCCCTTTACTGGTGAGCAATAAAGTTCAAGGTTCTTCTCTTGGGGTTCTGTCTTTTTATTGGTTGTGGTTCTGAGTAGTTCTCAGAGAGACTACTCAGAGGTTTTGGCCAGGTTGGCAGTGTTAAAATTTGCAGAGTGTTTTGACAAAGAATTTTAAGACTTTCATGACTTGAGACCTTTAGACCAGACCTGGAAGTAAGTATTTACTTTATTAACATTCTATATCTCTATAATATTTATATTTAGCTAATATCACTGTTTGAAAGAAGAGTGAAAGTTTAAATTATGAATTAAATCTAAATCTTCAGTTTATCATCTCAGAGAGTATATTTACTTGTCTCATGAGTATTGTATTTTACATAGTACAGTTTAGAGCATTTCTTATTAGATATGTAAGCTGAAGCATCCAGTGGATATTTTGGTGTTTTATGGAATGGGCCTTGTCCCATAGAGAGGTAATAAGCATATGTTACCTTTTGTATATTTTAAAGTTGTAATATCATATCATTACATTAATTGAGATGTGATTGTAGAATATGTGTGTAAAGATTAACTATACAGTGATTTATTTTTATGCTAAATATTGAAATTAAGAGAGATAACTCTTAACTGATAAATTTATCTTTTGTACATCAAAATAACTAAGGAAAATAGAATGTATACATTTGTTATTATTTCATGTGATATTTATTGTTATTGTTTTATTTTATAGGGCCATTCATTCATTCATTCCTACTTTGAACATCAATATTAAATAGTATGAACCCTTAGACAGGAGTTTGGTTGTCATTTCCTCCTGCATATAAACCACCCCTGTAACAGTATATTACTGACAAGCAAGTTGATGAAACAAGAATATCAGCAGTCTCGTTTGAAGTCATCATTTCTTAAGTTCTATGGTCGATACAATTGACCTTGTCAGCAAATACAATTTATTATTGAGTCAAATGCTGACTGACGTTTTTCATACCAATTGTTAGTCCATTATTTACAAACTGAATTGACGACGGATTTTTCCGTTATTCCCAATCATGACAAGGAGCACAGGACGGGTGTGACCGCTCACTCCTCCATGGCACCTTATCCCGCCTCTGATGTTTCGGAGGTCTGTGTTTGCCTGCTCCTATTTTTAAACTTGATTACTGTTCGTATATTGTTTGTTATCTCCATATATTTCATCAGATATATTGAAGAAGTTTTCTCAATTACTAGTAACAAAATATATGTTGACTTTATACATCCCTTGATGTATTTCCAAATGAACTCGAAAAGACGGACACTTAGTGTCCGACATATTTGTTTCATATTTTGGTGTTGTGATACACAGGTCTATAAAAGGGAAAGCAACCGTAATAATGACATAATTTTTGTTTTGTATGCCAATAAGTGCATAAATGTTGTCTATATTATTTGTACTTTAAATCCTCGATAAATAAAATGTGAAGAAAATCTACGAACTTTTGGATCAACCCTTCTATAATACTATTATAGAGGTTCCTTTCATATGAATCACAGACTATAAAAACCTGTTTTATGTCAAAGAATTTTTACACACAGAAAATGTCCATGCACATGCACCGAGGCATATATAAAATAAAAATCTCGTAAAAGATGTGCATATCTTTGCTCCTGTAAGCTTTTAAATGTTAAAACACAATGTAAACAAATTTGAAAAGTAATATCAAAATAATTTATTTTTGATTCTTTCACTACTTGTATAACTTAACTGTATTAATTCATTTTGATTTTATTTTTTAAATTGAACTCATTGAACAAAATTCTACATCTTTGCTACTGGGAACTATGTCTCAGTTTGGTTGGAAGATAAACATTGACAAGGAAAGACGAAGATATGGAGTCAAGACTCTCAATTTCAGCTTTTTTGCCAAGTTCCAACAAAACATTTAGTTCCTTGTACAGAATCTGTGATTCAGAAACATACGGTCGCGCCAGAATGTCACTTATTTTACTTTTGTCTGAAGGCTTAAGCTCTATAAGACTATTTTCTTTTAGTCGCAGACGTTGAATATCACTTGGTAAAACTCCCAGCCATTCCATATCAGGTACAGTCAACATGGGGGCCTCGAAGGACAAAGAACGGGACCCAAATTTATAAATGGACATAATCTCTATTCCATAAGGGTCTGCATCCACAAGAATGAAAAATCTCGGAGAAAATTCTCTCCACAGTCTGTTTAAAAGCATTCTGGTGTTCAGGTCAGGAAAACCTTTTCCTGTGACAATTATGCAAGGACGCATCAATTCGCAAAACCCTTCGCTCAATAAACGCTGGAAAATCGCATCCTTTTCTATCACTAAAATAAAATCCGCATCTGTCTGAAGATGTTGCATACCTGTAATATGACTTGGAACTTGGATCCCTGACATGGTCTTGCTACAGTCTACGTAGTTACCATCAACATCATAAAAAGACAAATTCCCTGCAATACATCCTTTTGAGGTAGCCAGCACATGTAGACGCCATCTTGGTATTTGGAGCATGCAGGAGATATTTTCTAACGCCTCGTCCAATGCTCCTTGGTTTCCAAACAAAGTGGTGTCTTGGTAATATAAGTCACGCTTGGTACAAAATCTGTCAGTCTGAATAAGACCATATACCATTGACAAAAGTTTAATCATCAATGTAAATTTCTTTAGGGATAGCCTGGAATCAAAGCGAACTGAAGTCATCTTCATAGCATCGTTTACACACAGACCTACATTTTTGTCAAATGAAATGTTGTGCCAGGTTCCTCTGTTGAAATGACACAGAACTGGTGGCTTTTTGTCACTGATTTGTTGAATGACGGACAACATAACATCATCAATTCGAGAAAGGATGGAATTATCATCGATGTCAAAATCGTGTGATGCCATCTGAAAAAAGTGTAAATTATGGTATTTTAACATGCATTCCAAAAGTATATGTGGTAAAGCATAAAATTAAGTAATGAAATTATTTCCGAATTCACATACTTCATTTGGAAGCCGATTCATCTGATCAACGGTAACGCTAGATCGAATGGTTTTCTTTCGGATTTATTAGTATAGCCCTTCCTCCGGAAGAATTCCTGAATTCGCCCTTACTGTTTTATTTCATTTACTTTCTGAAAGTTTTAAATACTGTGGATTCCATGGTGTAAAGGAATACACCAGTCTCTACCCAGAGTTATCGTTCGCTTCGCTACAACACCTCTGAGGTATAAGTGGAACGATAAACTCTGGATAGAGATTTGGGAATACACAAGGGGCCTTTCACGAAATAAAATATTTGCCGCCTTATTATTAACGCTGAGAAATAGAGTAGAGACGTACACAATATTAGGCCTACAAATGTGACTAGAAATGCAAAATGGTCCGTCGGTAGCGTAATCGGATGCATGGTGATGAACATATAAAATTACATATTTTTAAGATCAATACTGTTTTATACAATGTATAATTTATAGCGAGACCTAACGTTTCACTGTTAAACATACTTATAACTAAACTTACTGAGTGCATCAATCAACATTGAAGTCGTCTGCTCTGATAGAAAATTTTACACACCGGATGGTCCAATCGGCAATGTAAAATATAAAATAAACTGGGAGCTTATAGAAAGTCCGGAAAAGTAAATTGTGAACTTGAAATGCATGTCCCTTGGAACCAGTAGAATACATTGCAGATATATATTATGTAGTAGAAAACATAGTTATTCATGTTCCTTAATCAGATGTCTGATAACCTTTCTGGTTTTTCCCAACAGGGTTTTTCTTTTCCTTCCCCCTTCCAATAACTGAAAATGTTTAGTAGTACCCCGCCCCGTTTGAAACTGAAATTTGCATCCAACTAGCAAAAAGTTTCAATACCCCGACTGATTCATAAGAATGACTGCAATCTTTTCTGTTCTTACAAAATAAGATGTTATGAATACAATTTTATTTAGTCATTTAAAATACTAGGAACATATATAATTTATAAGAGAAATGTGACTAGATTTTTCAGTTGTACCTACAGCACCTATTCAGATTAGAGGGTTTGGTGGCGAGTATATGTACCGTTAACTTGTCTGGTGTCTCTCATTTTCTCTTCTCTTGTTCAATCAAGGAAATTCTTACTTAGCATCAAATGAAATTTTGCCAACATATTCCCGGGGAATAGCTTACGCATTCTGACGCAAATTGATCAAAACCAATTGTGACGTAATAGCCATAGGTAAAATTAACGTCATTTGATATGAATGTGTTTGGAATTTGTTAGGCCTATGTTCATATGGCAAGGTAAGTAAAAGGGTTTTTTTAGTGTGTGTGTGTGGGGGGGGATGATTTTTATCTAGTAAAATTACAACTAATTCCTTGTAACAGTAATTTACAAAAAAATAGTTCCATGCGCATCGAAACTAACCTATCGCGAGTATTTGCTGATAATATATTTTTCTTCTGAAAAAAAAACAAATTGTTTTAATTATTTGAAATATAATCATAGGATTAAATTATATAAAAATATATTAAATCCCCCCCCCTCCCCAAAAAATGATGAACTTTTACGTTGCTATGGGTGACGCAGGATGAGGCTGTTGCGTTGTGGCAACAATTCATAGTTACGGCGCCATTCAGTTGTGAACGGACGTGCAAAATTAGCTCTGCGATAAAACTGAAAAATGACAATGAAACGACGACTTTCAGTGGGGGATTCTTGTACAGAACTGGATGCTATGGTATCAGTCACCTACAAGAATACTCTTTTGCTTTAATCATAATCGAAATATAAAGTTAATTCAATAAATTCAATCTGCATCAAAACCAGTGGACCGACCCTGCAAAAATTTTCTTGCAAAACTAAGATTTCATTATTGATCAATTAATAAAAATAGTTTCTTTTTTTTTTCTTTCGTAAATTGTGTGATGTTATAAAGTGGTCAACACAGTAAAGTCAGTAATTTATCGTGACACCACCACCCTCCTCAATCCCCGTAAATTGTAAATCGATATATGTCAAAATAGCTTTACAAGACTTTTCTTTTTGAAATTTTATTTTTGCCTCTAGTAAAAAAAATCGCTGTACATTGTAGGCAAAAAGAAGGAAAATCACACGAGGAGAGAAGACCGAGAGGAAACAACGTCCTCAAATGTCCTCCCCTTCTCAAATCAGTCCTCAAATTGAACAGCGTGTGTCTACAAAGACCAAATATCACTGCGACAGTGATACTGCAGACAAAACAGTTACTGGGACAAATCTCCATAAACCAAGTGATGTAGAAACTGTTCCTAAAGTTCCAGTTTCGGAACCATCTGCTGCTGACACATTTTGTGCAAACACTCTCTCACACATTGACTTTCTGGGAGAATTCAATGACTTGAGCAGTGTTTATGCTCTAACAGAACTGCCTCTCCAGCCAAAGGATCAGCCTTTCAATGTAGTAATGGATGGTTCTTCCTTGTATCTCGTGGGCCTGCAAAACCAGGTGTACGTATCTATGGTTCAACAGCCTTCCAGTTCAGATGGACAAGTGTTTTGCACAGTGGAGCACAATACACATTCTGACCTTTTTCATCAGCACGGAGACAACATCGACTGTTTGGTAAGTCTCTTGCTCTCTCTCTCTCTCTCTCTCTCTCTCTCTCTCTCTGAGTCTCTCTATCTCTCTCTTGTTTGTATACACTTGTTTTCTATCCTCTCTTTTCTCGTCTTTATTAGCAACAGTTCACTTCCAAGTCTTTTCCTGATAAAATGAAGGAAAGGATTGAGAACTGGGTAAGACATATGCAGACAAACTACTTTTTGTACTTTGTCATAAGTCCATTAAAATAGCACATCTTTTCAAACCATCCCAGAAATTTTTCTTGAGTTGTCGTTTTAATAATTAACTGGTGATTATTTACTACCATGATGTTTTCCTTTCAGTATTATGCAACCATGGATGTTGATCGCAGAGAGGCTCATGATCATCAGCTGACATTCCCCTCTCGCAAGGTATGTACATGTACATGTATAATATCTCTACTTTTAAATCATGCGATAATTTTTTCGGAAATCAAGATGTTATCTTTACAGCCTTTTCATTAAACACTTCATATATGTTGGGGCGGGGAGTTTATAATTATTATGACTTTGGTATATATTATTTGTATATTTTAATATATATGCACATCGTATTAACGGGTACAGTGAAACGTACACGGTTATAACGGAAACAGACATGGCGAATGTCTCTTACTGTGTGGACAATTAGTTGAGTACTTTAATAACCGATTCTTATATGTTTAAAATCACATTTATTTTTTTGTTTTAGTCGGAATGGTCAGAGCAAGTGAAATACAGCCATGACTGGCATGAGTGCGAGTGGGGGCCGCTAGAATACCATGAGGCAAACTACAGCAAGTTCGGTTTCTAGGGAGGAGATTCCTTTGAGTATTCCCTAGTGTTTTCAAAGACTGTGATAGACAATTTTGACTTAGCTGAGTCACTAGTACTGATATGATCTCTGGGACCAATTAATGGGTCACTGTTTTTAATTTTTAAATCAAATCATGCATGTTTTACCATTTTGTCATATTTTAACCATGAGGTACGACAGCCTATCCATGTCATTTTTATTAAATTTTGCATGTCTGACTAGCTTTTTTTACAGAAAGAGTATGAACTTATACATTGTGAACTGAATAGAACCAGTTGAGGACAAGTTCCCTAAAGAATACAGTGTGTCAATGCCATACAGAGGAAAATATACAACAGTCTGTGAACAAGATCGAGAGTTGTATTTCGATCTAAAATACTGGACAAAATACTACCACCAGTGCGTCATAATAATTACCTATACACGAATGGCTTACTGCCCGTTTATATTCTCTTAACATGTCCTTTTTAAAAATAAGTTCAGGCGGTATGTGTATAGCTGTGATATAAAGTTACGTTCTTTTATTTTTACATCCCGGTTAGTAGTTTCGTCTTACTGAGATATATGTTTTTTTTCTTTATTGGTAAAACGAAAACATGATTTGATATTTAGGCCAATTTACCTCTAAGGTATTCTAAGTAGAAGAGCACAGGAACTTTTCCAGAAATCCACGCTTTACAATGTATTCATAGAGTTTTGTAATGAATTGTGAAGAAAAATACGCTTTCCGCAAGCCTGGTAGGAAGGGACTGGAGAAAAAAAAATTGTATAGTTAATCTTCAAACAAACTTCCATTTTCTATTTAGGAAAGGTAAATGAATATTAACTTTCGTGCCATCATTGATTAATGGCAAGTTAATGCATTGAAAATTTTGCTAGGCAAGGCCCTGTTGAATTATTAGTCCGCACTAAGGAACCCTTGACTGGACAATAATGTTCATTCCTCATAGGAAAAAAGTGCTTGCTTTTCTAATAACAAAATGTCAAGAAGATGCCAAAGATCGTCACCAGCACATTTCAATCGCAACTTCTTGATCCTTTCCGACTGGCGGAAAAACAATATCGAATGTATCACGTAGACGCCCCCCCCCCCTTTCCATAAACTTTGAAATAAATGTCGGAATACCTCTTATCTGTCGAGTATAATTTAATTTAAATTTATTGAATGTAAAGACATTACCTAAAATATACTATAGAAGGGACTTTTTACTCCGTCTATCCCATATTTTAATTTACGGGAAGATGTATAATTTTAAAAAAAATACTATCGAGATTGTTTTTCTGACCTTTGACGGAAAGATCCGAGATGATGCGAACACAACAGATTTCTGAAAAAAGTGATCGGCGAGCATAAATCGAATCGGTAGAAAGTTCCATATACTGGATTCTAATGTACGAAAACCATTTGAGCTCATTTCGTAGGTTAATATTTTTGCGTTATAACGCGAAACCTTTGCAAATAAACTCGTTATTTTTGCGTCATACCGCGAAATTTTCGGGAATAATCGATTATTATTCGCGTTATTACGCAAAATTCTTTTGATAAAAATATACCCGGCAGTCATGTACTCATATGTATGAATATTTGTCATCCAATTTTCACTTTAGGTGACCATTGTGTTGTGATACAATTATACAAGTTTATCCCATTTGTGTCTATTTTCTGAGACCTTAATTATTATACCCCCGCTTGAAAAGCGGGAGGGTATATAGAAATCGGTATTTCCGTCCGTCCGTCCGTCCGTCTGTACGTCCGTCCGTCTGTTACGCTTTGGGGTACCCTTCTCTTATCCGCAACTCCTCTCATACCACTGAATGAAATTTGATGAAACTTTCACAGGATCTTTATTACATATTGCCATTGTGCACCTCCTATTTTACTTTTTGATCCGACACATATTTTGGGTTTCCCGGCCACAGGAAAACATGGACTTTTTCACCAGTTAAAACCATATGGGAGGCGGGGGGTATCATTTAGTGAGCTCATCGCTCACAGTACCTCTAGTTTCATTTTAGAGATTTTTGTTTTTTTTTAAATTGAAGTCGGAAAGAGGAATTGTTTCCGAGAAATTCATGGTTGTAAAGTTTTCTTTTTGGAAAAAAAACTCGCATATATACTCTAAAAAGTATTGAAGACAAAATGTGACGGCAGAAAGATTTAGAAAGAGGAACTTCAGACATATTCAATGGTCGAGAAAATTTAAACAGCTTGTTATTTTCCAAGATCAAAATAATATCTCCTCTCTTTCTACATTGAAATGAATATATTAGATAATTAAGTCAGGAGACTTATGCAAATTTTTGGTTTTACTGAGAAAGTTTCGCGTTATATAACACGAAAATAACGCGTTTCTTCGCCAAAGATTCGCGTATATTTGCGCAATTTTCGCGTTAATTCGCAAAATATTCGTGTTCATTTGCATATGTTTCGCTAAATAACTCGAAAAATATTTTATTGTAACCTTTACATAAATAAGTTTAGTGGGCTTTCATATTCGTGTATTTACGAGGTAAAGATAAAAATGATTAAGGAAAATCTAACAGGGTCTGTGTAACACTGAACAATTCTAATTTCTAAAACGATTTAGAGTTTTAGAATGTTAATACATGTATAATACGGTCCGTGTAACACTTAACAATTTAAATTTCTAAATGTTAATATATTAGTTCAAATTTCTAACTTTCAAAAATTCAAACTGATTTGGTATATTGAAATTCAATACGTTATGTCAAAAAATCTAAATTTTCAAATTTTCAAACAGGTTTTAGAATTTTCAGTTTTTAGGTTTTTACTTTACATGTTCAAAATTCAAATTTCCAAAAACAATATTTGTATTTCAAACTTTTGAGTTTTTAATGTACAGTTGTTCAGAAAATTTACGCTTAACAATCTATAGTACAGTAACATTTTTCGTCTTTTGATGACTGAAAATTAACTTCTAAATTTGAACTTTCAAACGTTAAATATTTTTAGAAATTTGGAATTTTGATTCAAATGTTCTGATTTCAAATTACAAAAACACTTTGAGTTTTTAGAATTTTACTTTAAATATCCAAAATATCAAATTTCCAAACCCGATTTGAATTTTGAATATTGGTTCAATATTCTAACTATCTAAAAGCTCTTTTGCTTAACCAAAAGAGTTTTTGAAATAGTTTGAAAATTCAAACCAGGTTTGAAATTTGATATTTTGCATATTTGAAGTAAATCTCTAAAAACTCCAAGTGTTTCGGTTATATGAAATTTGAATGTTTAAATCAAAATTCTAAATTTCAAAAAATCAAAAACGTTTTGAAAGTTGAAATTTAAAAGTTTGAAGTAAATTTTGAAATATCAAAAGTCGTCAAACTGTACTAAACTTATGATTGTTAAAGCTGACATGAACTCTTAAAAAGGCATCAGTTTTCATCTTTGTACGACTTACTACATTCCTGAACGCCCTTGTCCGACATATTTGTTCGATTCCGCCATATTTAATCGAAGATTTTTGGCCACCTGTACCTGCTATATATAGCCCTGTAGAACTGTTTCACTCGAGTGATTTTCTAGTTTGGCTGTCGACATGTACACATCTCCGATAGCATAGTTTTTAGAAGTCCACAAACTGACCAATAAATGTTTGAAAAGTAAAAATTCAACAAAAAATAGAGCTATACCGAGAATTAAATTATTTTTGAATGCATTTGCTGCAATATAAAAAGTACACTAACATGGAATACATTTATGTACAGCAAAAATCCATGCAGGTGGAGAAAACGCGTCAAACGCAGTGATAAAACATTTACCTGAATACTGCTATCGTTACAGGGGTGTGCACATGTCGAAAGAATTATCCTATTTTACTTTTATTGAAAAATGCATCTCAGAAGTCATGTAATCCATTGCTAACTCAATAGTAAAAGATGCTTGGACACACGTGGCCCATGCCGATCATTTTATTTGGTCAGGGAAAATATCAAAGGTTGAAAGCTCAGTGGGGTTGAAATTTTTTTTTCGAACATAAACATTACTCTTGTTTGTAAATGTAGTAAATAAAATTTATGATTACATGGTTTAACTTCAATAAATTTATAATAAAGCATGTATTATTACGAATCATTCACCTTTTGAAGATATTTTCCTGTGATAGGAGGGGGGGGGGTAATAAAACATGCATATTAATACTCTCATAAAAATAATTTAAGAAAAACGTCTGAAACAGATTAATTATTATCAAATAAATACTATGTATAGGCTTTATTAGAACTAATATAATTTGATACAAAGTTATCTATAATTTTATGCACAATGGAAGAAAAAAAGTGAGCAAGTTCACATACCCCACGCTTCCCCAAAAGTCAAAGTGCTGAAATTCCCAGAAAAAATAAAGGAATCGCAATTTCCATGTATTATGCTCATCTATACACATTGTGTCCTAAATACGTGCAAAGTTTGACGAAATTGTGTGCAGCGGTTTATGAGGAATTGCGCTAACAAACTGTTCATCTCTATTTTCAAGATATGGCCAAAATTTAAATGTGAAAGTGCGGAAATTCCCGAAAAAATAAAGAATTCGGAATTTTCTGGTGATGTGCAAATCTACACACACATTGTCTCCTATAAATATCTGCAAAATTGGACAAAACTCTGTGCAGAGGTGTATGAGAAGTTGCGCTGACCAAAAAAAAAAGAAAAAAAAGACTGATTGACGGGTCAAAAACATTATACCTCATGCACGCAACTTATTGCGAGGAGTATAATAAACGAGTTTGATTCTGTGGTGCAATGATAATGAAAATAGAATTTAATGTGAATTAAATTTCTAGACATTAATAATTAATGATTATTAGAAAAAGCATATAGGTAGAGAGAGCAAACTCCCCATGAGAATTCCACATTCTACCTACAATTAGCTTTTTAAAAAATTCTCTTGTCTGTTGTCCAGGTCCAGGTTCGACACGTACGTTTGAGAAGGTAATTGAGAAAGAACCCAATGTTCCCATTCCTGTGATGTATATTTCACGTTTATTATATCCCCCGCTTGAAAAGTGGGAGGGTATATAGTAATCGTTATGTCCGTCCGTCTGTCCGTGCGTCTGTCTCTTACGCTTTGGGGTACCAATCTCTTTTCCGCAAATCATCTTGTACCACTTAGTGAAATTTAATGAAACTTTCACAGAATCTTAGGTTTATTACATATTACCATTGTGCAACTCCTATTTTACTTTTCAGGGGTGT